ATCGGGCAAATTGCCATCCCTACCTCTGGTTAGTAAGCTATGTGATGCTTCAGATAGTCCTAAGATTAATCTATCTGAGAAAGCGTCAGGTCCTCCACACAGGCAAGGTCTTGTTCTTAGCCCACATGTATTGCTCTGTGAACGTGTGGTTCAAATGGCTAATGGTCTCTATGGTGAGAATGGTGAGCCACTTGTTAGAGTTGCAGGTACTGATAACTATTTCTTTCCAATTTTTAGAACACATTCATTGATAAGACTTCCTCTGTCTTACTCACAATGAACTTGTACGTTCTCCGCTTATGAAAATTTCTTTTGCTGAGCAAATAAAAAACAATTTTTTTGGCATGGGTAATGATGGTTACTTCTTTTTGTCTTATAGTGTGGGAGTTCTTTAGATGCATCCTCCATGTTTTGTATTGTTCTTTTCATATTGTTTAATTGTGTTTGTCTTCAATATGAAATTTGACCACAGGGGTGGCCAGTTAAAGAACCTGATATTATTGTATCTACTCCAGCTGTTCTGCTGAACAACATAGACTCGAAAAAGCACCATTGTATGAATTTTATTTGTGACATGAAGTATGTGGTAGGCTTTCTTTCTGTTCTTCCATGTAATACTTTTAGTTATTTGATAAATCACAGGCTAATTCGTCATTTAAAATAATCTGCAGGTATTTGATGAAGCAGATATGCTTCTCTGTGGAAGCTTTCAGAATCAAGTTATTCGTCTAATGAACATGCTTCATTTTGATGAAAAGTTGTTGTCTCAAATGAGTAAATCTGTATCTGAGAACCCTATGGAACCAAGTCCTGAATCTTTGTCACACTTTGACTTGGGGGATGATGAAGACATCACAAATGAATTTGTCTCAGTAAAGGAGGAAGATTTTGAGGACAATGTTTACGCTGAGGAGTTGATAGAGGGAGCTAAGGTTGGGTCTGCCAAGGAAAAAGACTGGAGGAGAGTGAGAAAACCTTATGCATGCAGTAAGCAATACATTTTCGTCGCAGCCACCCTTCCTCTTAATGGAAAGAAAACTGCAGGGGCAGTGTTGAAAAAGATGTTCCCAGATGCCATCTGGGTTAGTGGAAACTACCTCCATTGTCACAACCCTAGGTGCCAAATTCTTTTCCTCTTTAGTATTATTTTTCTCTTTCTGATTAAATAGTGCACAGATTCAGTTATAGTTTTTCAGCCTATCTTTGTCCATTGCATGCTCTTGTTTGTAAGATGCTCAATGCTATAAAATGGTAATATTGGTCTCTTGGCCTAATGGAAGTGCACCCTTTCCCCCTCCAGCCTTAGTTTAGGGATTTGAGTCCACCCCTGGCTCCAAAGTTTCACCTTTAAAATAAGGAAAAACCTAAAATCTAAGAGCATCGGTTTCAAATTGTTATAGAAATATAAATATTAATGTAATACTTTGTTTATGAATTGTGTGTATATGTGTGTCTCCACGCACATTATAACAAATTATAATATATGATCAGGAAATATTATTTGTAGATGAAGACATCTTTGCATCTTAAAATTCTCAGGTCCTATCACTTTTGTCCTCTTTGGTAACAATTTTTGACTTTGTAAATGATTTTTTTCCCTTCTTTTTTTTCTTTTAACTTTTCCATTTCAGATTGGAGGAGAAGTGGATTGAAGTTACAGTTGATACGCAGGTGGATGCACTAATAGATGCTGTGAAGCTATTTCGATCTAAAGGATCAGATTATGAGGCTGGCATTAGTTGGACGATGGTTTTTGCAAAGACTGTTGAGGCTGTTGAAGCTGTGGCTAAGATACTAGAGAGGACTGGT